TTTAAAATCCAATGTGTGGATCACATAATATTTCAAAAATTTTAACTTTTGAGTATAGATGATCCGCACTGTATTTCGACTAACAAATTAGCGTTAAATCCTAATTCTGGTAACACTATCAAGCTGTTATGATTAAAATTCTTTTGTGCTAATTTAGGGTCCCATCTTTGCTTATTTATAATCTATTGGTTCTCTTTTTACTGGTCAAATGATGCCAACTTGGGTAATGGGGCATCAGCAAATATCAGAATCTGATTATTCTTTAAAAAAATAATCAAGGTATTAGCATACCAATAAGTTAATAATATTCTTAGTATTTTTATCATATAGTCTAAAAGCCTATTGGTAAATATTGAATGAGATTATCAGATACTCTTTTAAAATTAATCCTATTTTTTAATTAATTTAATAAACCAATAGCTCTTTTGTATTGTAATTAAATTATCGGTTAAATATTTCTAATCAAAATCTTGAGTAGCAGTTAGGGTTTTCTATTCAAATAAGGTTTATTTGAATAAAACAAATAATTCGAGTAATAATAAAACGAATAAAACGAATAAAGCGTTCAGCCAGAACTCGTTAAGACAATGCTTTGATAAACCAAATATACACAATAAGCCGATGTTGTTTTATTATCTACCTATCAAATTACCTCAATAAGCCGATTTTATTAAGGTTTTTTAAATCGAAGTTTTTTTTTTTGAAATATTGACTTCGGTTTAACAAGTTCTGACTGTATTATGAATAGAAACCATGCATTAATATTAATATTAAAATCAATAAATAAACAAACAAATAGCTTTTATTGCATTAATTTTGTTCCTTTGGTGTTAATGATTGAATCAACCACACAAGTAGTAGTCAATTTAAACAGCATTGTTTTTAAAGAATTTATTCAAAAAAATATTATTTAAATGTATAAAGTTTAGCGATTTTTAATGTTGCAAATTTTTTTGATACATCAATCTCAGTCCAAAATCAATCATATTTTATATACTTTAAAGTTTTATTTCTTTCTTTGATAAATAATAAATAAATTTATCCATTTGTTTATTTGTTTTAGTAGATTCAAATAGATTTTATTAGAACAAACAAATGGTACACTACAGCAAAAATTTCAGAGAATCAATAATGCAAAATCACGTGTAATAAGTATATATAGCTTGTAGCCTAGGGTCCTGTAGAATATGCATGCAAAATTTTTGTTTTCTGATTTTTGCTATGTCATTTATTTAAAGGAAATTCAATTATTTTTTTGAAAAAAAATTTAATCAAACTTTTGCAATTATATGACCTTTTTTTTTCAATTTTTTTTCATTCTTTTTCTTCATTCTCAGGGTTATCATTGACAACCTCAAGAAGTTTTGATTCAGTTGTTATTTGGTTATTGTTGGTTAGTGTATTCTCTTCATTTGGTTGAATTTCTTCCATATCATTGATTTTGGGCATCGTTTATACACATTTTTTTTCGTGTTTTAACCTTTGGCATGTTATAGGAAACCTAAGCTTATTTGAAAGCTAATAAAAGAACAAAAAAGACTTGCTGGCAGAGTGAAATTATTTTAATTAAAATTATTGATTTTTGGATTTGTTTTAAATTCAATTTTTTTCGCGGTTTTTTTTTTTTACCAATGTAACATGCCCAAATTTGGATATAAAATAACACGTGATTACCTCTACCCTTCCTTAACTTTACTTCACTTTCCAAAAAAATTCAATTACCAGAATCCGTTACCATTTTGACATATAATTTACTTGCATTTATATTTGTTGCAATATTATATTTATCAAAAAAAATCAGAATTGGTTGGTGACAGACAGACAGACAGACAGACAGACAGAATTATCTGTTGACAAAAGAATCACCAAAGAGTGATTTTAGAACATGTTTCATGTTTCATCTCTTGATAATAATATGGAGGTTAATACTAAATTATGAAGGATTTAGTGGAATGGAAGTAAGTTATTTGAGTTTAAACAAAGTTTTATAATAAATTATTAGTATTTAATAATAATTTTATAACTCTATAATTGTGATTTAGATCATATATCAATAATATTTACACTTTTTGGATTTAATTTACCTTCATCTTTTCAATCTGATTTTCTTCACTATCATTATCAATGATATTGTTTTTTGGGCCTTTCTATATAAAATATTTGGAGAAGTAACTACCTCTTCAGTTATATTTCAATTGGAAATTAAATGTTTGTGAACTCTATGAAATTATGAATTTAGTTTTATTAATATAATGAATTAATGATTTAAGGTGCTGTTTACAAAAGAATTTGTTTTTAAAAGTTGCATGTATGGTTTTTTACACTAGCTGATCTATCATGTGCAAAATTGTACTTCTTACACCTTGAGTGATTTTTTGAATGATCCTATGAATGCTGTTAATTGATGTTTTTCAGTAGCTCCAGTTGCAAGTCGATATCTTATAATTATAATATATATTAATAATAATATAGTTTATAATAAAATCAGATAATATAAAATTAGAATTTCTTACTCAATTTCTCCAATATTTTCAAACAATTCTTCATCAGTGATAAATGATTTTCTTAAGTTATAACAAAAATCTGTCAATATATCTTGTAAAGCAAGACCTTTTTCTGTCTTGAGCTTCTGGATATCTATATATATGGAATAGTACAAATATTTTTATATTTAACTTGCCAAGTTATTTACACAACTAATTAAATTTTACATAATGTCAAAAATTAAAACTAACTGGAATGTGCTGTTGAATAATCATCACAAGTCATTGTCTTTACTATTAATTCTATATCTTTAGTATTAGGTCTTCCTGTACAATTACATATAGCATCTTCATCTATGAATTCATTTGTTGCATGACATGCCTAAATAGCAAATGGTGTAGTTTTTTTCTTTTAGTTAAATAAAATTTTACAAAACATTATGTAATAAATGCACAAATCACCTGTAAAATATTTAATACTCTTCGCATATCACCACATGAAATTTTAATTAATGCTTCTATCCCATCTTGGGAAATATTTATGCTATAATAATATAAACTTTAAAATTTTGCCCACCAGAAAGTTTGTAATAAATGGTCTTTTTTTTAAAACAATTTTTTGTTACCGTTCTGCCTCAACTATGTCATTCAAACAAGAAATAATTTGATCTTTGCCTAAAGGAGAAAATCGAAATTTTGTACAACGAGATTGAACTGCAGGAATGATCTTGAGTGGATAGTTACAAATGATACAGAAGCGTACATTTTGTGTATACTTTTCAATAACTATGTAATTAATTTAATAAATTAATTGATTAGTTTGCAGTGTATATAATATATATATATAAAGATATAAAATATAAATAGTTTATTAACTTCTTCTCAATGCATTTTGAGCAGGTTGTGTCATGGCATCAGCTTCATCCAGTATAATCAACTTTATATTCGAACTTAAATATTATTAAGATTGCTATTAATAAATTGCTCACATATATAAAAATACATTTGATATCGATCAAATTATATTAATACCTAAATATATTACGCGTACTTGCAAAATTTTTAATTTGTTCACGAACAACATCTATTCCTCTATCATCAGATGCATTTAACTATAGAAATTTAATTATAACTTAAAAACTTGTATGTGTTTACTTTATATCATATAAATAATTTAACCTACTTCCATAACCATTGATTTCCATTTATCTCCATATATTTTATTAGCAACTGCAAAGATTGTTGATGTTTTGCCAGTTCCAGGTGGACCATAAAATAATAAATGTGGAAGTTGATCTCTATTGATATATGCTTCAACTTGAGATAATAATAAAGAATAAATGATGGATGATATTAGAATTTCAAAAAAAAAAATTTTACACGTCACAATTTTTAAATATATATATGTAAGCACGTATGCATATAAAAACAACTTGTTGTAATGATATTTTTATGAGATAAAAGCTCATCAAGCGTTTTTGGACGATATTTTTCAACCCTAGACACAAAATTTTTCAGTTATATCTATTATAAAAAATTATATATATATATATGTATATGTGTGAGATAAAAAGATACCAAGGTAAATTATCCTCTTTATAAGCCGAATCAATATCCATTGGTTCGTGTTTTTCTTGATACATTATTATTTTTTTTATTTTTTATTTTTTATTTTTAGAAATTAGTCGAGCTATTTTGTCACGCGAAACGTTTTTTTCAAGTGCTTTTTCCGAATTTTTTGCCCACCAAATTTGACTTCAGGACTTCTAAAAAAAAAAATCTTTGTGTTAAAGTTTATCAACCAAATTACCGCATTCGGAATTAATTACGTATTTTTATTGAACATCGCCTATTCTTTTATAAATTTATTTATATTGAAAAGAACAAGAATTGTAAATAAAGAGACAAAGAAAGAAAATTTATTATGTAATCAGCATAAGACAGATACAGAAAGGATAGAAAATAGGGATGTTAACAGTTCATTCTTGGTAAACCCAAGTCCGAACTAGTACTAATGTTGTTTGACGAAATGCTACCAAAGTTGTAAATCTATTACGTAAGTAAACTTACTTTAAAATACAAAAGCTCGCAAAAAAATATATATATAAATATATATATTCTCTTCAATTTCCTGATGTATCTGAATCTCTCTTTGTTTCATCAGTTGTTCCCAAGGAGCTAAACTTCCTTTTATTGAATACAAATTAAGTTCCTACACACACACACACACACACACACACACACACTCTCTCTCTCTCTCTCTCATTTACTACTAAGGTCGAACACTTCTTACATTAATAATGATAAAATTATCGCGTGCTTCATTTCATGTTCCAGTATCAAAACTGATTTTAGTGTAGACCTACTTGCACAAAATTATTAGAATATTGATCAAGTTACTTTTGCAATAATACCTTCTTTATTATAGTGATCAATTTAACTTGAATAGGGATAGGTACTCGCTTGAAAAAGCAGGGGAAAATAATAGATAGTTAACATACTAATAAATAAAACTCGGATAGAATCATTATTTTTAAAATCGTTGTCTTTATTTCTTTGCTTTAAGGCGCTTTGATAAAGCAACAAGTGTAGTGCCTTGGTAAAAGTTAACAATTGTGGAGTTTTGGTAAAATGTCATATTTTATTTGCTTTAGCGAGCAAGCAAAGGTTAGGACTAAGGTTGGTTAACTAGTGAGTGTTAATGAAATATCGTCCAAAGGAATACTGGTAGTATTATTGTAATCATAAACATAAGGCTGTTAAACAAGCTACTCAAGTTGTTTTTCAAATAAACCAAAGCGAGTTTGCAATCGGCCAATAAATGTAAACAACTGAAATAAATCAATTACAAGTGAATAAAAGAAACTTTATAGAAGCTTTGAGCTTTGTAAAAAAGTCGTTTTATTCATTTGGAGTTAGTTAACCGGCACCATTAAGTGTACTTACAAACAAGAAAGAGGCAACAAGCGAGAACCAAAGTAGATTCGTAAACTAATTAATTGACAAGCACCGAATTATTATGAGTTGCTTGCAATTAACTGACAAGAGTAGCCCAAAAGTTAAGCCACAATCGGCAATATCATCCATTTAACAAGAATTCAGAAAACTGCGAAAAGTTTATTATCTCAAAATATTATTATAATTTAACTCTAAGAAATGAAATAAAGATAAAACTAATAATTATAACAAGTAAATTTATAGTGGAGATTAAATTAGTCACTTTCTAGAATCTAGTGTTTATTAATCAATCAAATAAGTATCGTTAGTAATAATTAATGGATAGTGATTTCCAATTAATTAATAATGAATTTTTATTCACCCTTGTTAAAATCATCATTTTAGAGAAAAGAGTTAAAATCAAGACTATTTAACGAACTATCATTACTTGTATAAAGTTTTAAGCTTTTAGATTTAGAAATCTCTTCATCTAATATTCTACTTTTATGATACGCATCCGGATGTGGTTTGTGTACTTGTTGCGAAACACTACTACCACCACTAGTATTATCACTACTACTATTAATAGTATTATTATTTTTAATAATTTCGTTAAGTTTATTTTCAGCAAAGACAAAAAGCTCTCCACTAGTTGGTCTTTTTGATGGATCCACATCCCAACACCTCTGCATCATTTGTGCATAATCGTCAGGCATTTCAGGTAATATTGGTGGTCGTAAACCTTCTTCACATATATCAAAAATTAAACGATGATTATGAGCTCTATTGTCAAATGGTGGATAACCTGCAAATATTTCCCACATTAACATCCCAACACTATAAATATCAGATTCTTTGGTGTTCTTTTTGCCTCTAAGTAACTCAGGTGCAACATATGACACAATTCCATAGACTTTATTTGATGACTTTTCATCAACTGGTCCACATAATCCTAAGTCTGTAATATAACAATTACCTCTATCCAATAATATATTACCACTATGTAAATCGCAATGGATTAAATCTTTTCTGTGTATATCATTTAATGCATCACATAAATAATCAAAGATTATAATTCTGTCTTTTAATGTTAAATTTAAATGATTTTTTTGTAAATAATCCCTTAAATTTCCTTCTAAATAATAATTTAAAACTATTGCATAATTCCCATTATCTGGGAATTTAGTTATACCATAGCACTGAACAATCGTTGGTGCTTTAATTTTACAATAATTCATTGCCTGAAAGTAAGTATAAATCAATTAGTATTATATAATACAGTATTATTAAATAAAAACTACCAACCTCATCAAAAAAGCTTTTTCCTGGATTACTTGAATCATTTAAACTTTTTAATACTACTAGTTGCCTTCCAAAATAACTAAATTTCTTTTTATTTTCGTCATAATCCTCAATACTTCCTCTTGTCCATGTAGCAGTATAAATTGAACTAAATCCACCTTCAGTCAACTTTTTTACTTTTTCAAATTGCTCAAAAGGTATCCATTCTAAAATATATTCTGGTAGAGATGATTTCATTTGACATTGTTGAATAAAATCATCAATTATGTTATTTCCAGAAGTCCAAGTAGTGAAAAGACTCTGCAATTGTAAACTAATACAACCTTCACAGAATCTATCAGAATATCTTATCAATTTACAGCTGTTACATTCTTTTGGTTTGCCTTTTTTATATGTTACATTATTTAATTCAAACCAATAAATAACTCTTCCTTACAATATTCTTTTTCATTTTCAGAAAGCTCCTTGTTTTTTTCAACTAATGAAAAAAAATAATCTTTTCTACTTCCTCTATCAGAATTAACTATTTCATTATTCTCCATTTCCTTATAAATTTTGTATACAAATCCCTTTCTTTCTTGTGATAACGATGATAATAATTTATAATGTGACATTATATAAATAAATTTGACTTGGTGTTTTAATGAATAGAAAGTAAAAAATTTTTTTTGAGAATAATTTTGCGTGTAACAAACTATTTCCTCGTAATATTATTCGTAATTCACATTTTTTCACTTTACAATTAAGTTTATTTAAGTTTTTCTTTGACAGGATTAATTGATTAAATATAAATCTCGAAAATTGAAGTATAAAATTGCATTATTTAAAGAACAACTTTATCATCACCCAAACTCTAGTTATAAATCTTCAAAATTAAAGTTTACAAAAATCAGTACCAAATCCTGTATTATGTGCTATGTAACGGTTGTTCTACGTACCAATATTGATCAACCAATATCGTTTCAATAAAGACAACTCGAGTGTATTTTTGTTTCATTAATAATAATAATATTATTGTGTATTATTATTACACATAAGTTAACCTCGGCCAAAATTCGAAAAAACATCAAGTTAGCACAACTTGTATGTTTATGTGTATTTCAAAGTCAGGCACTAAAGACAATTCAAATGCGTTTTGAATTTTTTTCATTTTATGAAATCTAATAATAATATTAATATGATGTGAATAGTAGTGATGATTTTTGATTTTTCATCCAAACATCTACAAATAGTTTTGATAAATCTGTAGTGAAAGGTGTTACTAATAATGTTCTATGAAAATAATTAAATATGGTTTATAATAAATGCATATGCATATACCTTTTATAACGGAGCTCATTATGATTACTGCTTACCGAGAAACTCGTCCATTTATCCATGAAAAATGTGCAATTTCCATGATCAACAATAACGAGAATTACCTGTCTATGATTACGATCACGGCCACCGACCCGTGGTTGGTTGGATGAGAACCAACTTGTCAAGTAACAACGAAAAAGAATTCAGGTTACCTAGTAACACACAACATTAGCAAGCGAACTCATAACGCGCAATATTTTTATCAGGAAAAGTTAAAGTATACTATCCAAGTGTTTCCGGAGACAGACAGGCGCAATTATTTTTTTCTAATTAATAAAATAACACCAATTGATTAATTGATTATTTATTTTACTTAGACCCAAAGTAACCAAACTCTAGCAGAGAATATTTTAAATTATTTATCATCTTGTTGATATATCCATCAAATGAAGAAGCATCAAAATATTCGAAAAAAAAAAGTAAAGCTGGAAAATATCCTCAAATTTTTGTTGATGGTGTATTTAAATGTGTAAGAGCATTACCTAGCGTTAATTACATATTTGTCGGGGAGATGGTTGAGGATAAATTAATCGATTATTATTATTTTTTAGTATCCAGAAGAACTTGAAGGTCAAAATGAATCTAAAACAGTTTAGAACAGCAACAATAATAATAGTGGTTATAATATATATATATATATTCTACTAGTCTCGTTGACAGATCTTTCTAATATTAAACAATAAAATTTCTAAAATCATAAATAAAATTCATTATCCAAGTAAAATTATTGAGTTTGAAACATATAAACAATTTTCCTAATTCTAATATGAACCAAAAAAACGAATCCATATTACTTTGTACAAAAGTTTATTAAAACAAGAACCGAACAAAAAAAAATATTGATTTAGCCAAAGAATTTGATACCTTAAAAAGTTCCAAATAACGGCTGATCTAAAGCAACATTAAAAAAGTCACGTCCTTCACCTTATATTTTCCATACATTAAAGAAAAAAATTAATTTATATGTTCTAAAAACCTAAACCAAGGAAAAACGACTTCTTGTTTTACAAATTAGTGATAACACTGGATTATATTAATATTATTTATTTGTTATTATTTTCCTTGTTATAACGGACAATTGAGGCCAAATTCATATGTTCGTTATAACGAGGTTCGGCTGTATTTTATTAATTTAAATAATATTAATATTACCCAGTCAAATCAATAGAAGATGCGTTGGCAAGTGAAATCCTTGAATAAAATAAAAAAGTTATAATAATTTACATATCTATAAATATTTAAAGTGATTATCTCGCGCATATATTTTCTACAGACTTCAAATGCTTTACGCAGTAAATAATCTTTCTTTTCTTTTTTTTTTTGAACTTTATCTCAAATATGTGCATGCGCGCACACACGCACACACTCATATATTCATTGTCCAAAACAAAATACAAGGTTTAGTATATGTAAAAAAAGGGCAATAATTATTATGCGGCGTGACAATTTACAGAATTTGAGCACATTGAAAATCATTTATTTTGTTATCATTGTTATTATTTTTAAGATTAAAATTTTATACGTTGATCAACGCAGAATCTAGCCAATAAAACTGTTAGAAATATATTTCTTTAAATAATTATAAAAATCATGTCAGTTTTAGAAACAGAATTACAAATTAGTACCGACGAAGAAGGATTAGAAAATAAAGTATCTAATAATCTCAATGACGATAAGTTAAAAAAATTAAGAATTGCGACTGATTCATTAGGTGGTCATGCTGTTATCGGAGAACTTTCAAAACCATATGATATCTTGACAAATACCATTATGGAATTAATCAAAAAAAATTACAATTCATTTGAGTTTGCACAATACAGCAAAAAGATTTGTAATTGTTTAATCGATAGAGTTGAATTTATTGAAATGCCTATGAAGAAAATTTTAAAAGCACACAAAACTTATAATAATAATAATAACAACAACAACAACAACAACAGTAACAATATGATGTTGATGGTTTTATTGCTAGATCAAAATTACTATAATAATTTATTAAGTCTAATTGCAGCTTTAAAGAAATCACAACAATTAATTACCGATTTGTCATTTCTTTGGAATTTACATAAATTTAGAACTACTAACATTATTAAAAGACGTTTTGAAAGAGTCACAAAAGAATTTGATAAAGTTTTATCAGACTTAAAGTTGGAGAAGCCTTTTGATTTTGTAACACAAAAAAAGAAAGATTTAAAAGCTGTAGAACATGATATTTCAATAATTACTAAGGTAAATTAATAAATATACTCCATATGTAAACTATTAATTTAATTTTTTTAAAAATATAATATCATTTTTTTATTAGTTTCTTGAAAGAGCTGAAGGATCTATAACAGTATCAAAATTTCTAGTTAACCCAATTTTCGAAGAAACCATATTAGTCAAAGCACACTTGAATGAAAATAATAATACAAATAATTCAAATGAAATGAAAGTCAAAGAGATTCCATCTGATGAATTAATAAATATATACAATCAATTTGTGAGGAAAGATCAATATGGTGGTGCTGGCAATGTTAAAGTTAGAAAGTGGCTGTCAAGTGGTGGTGGCAGTGGTATTGAAAAAAAGAAGAAAACAAAAAGTATTCTAGTTGCATGTAAAAGATATGAGCAACAGCCACAAAAATTTTTTGATAATCTTATTCTACTCCCCAAATTAAATAATTGTCCAAATATTTTAAAATTCTATGCACTTTCGGTTGTTAAAGATTGGAATTATCACAATTCAACAAATTCAAGTATAACAACAACACAAAATGTTTTAGTTTACGAATGGGTTGAGAAAGGAAATTTGAAAGAATTTTATGAAAAATTTAATATGAGTTGGCCTCTTAAATTAAAAATTGCTGTTGGTATATCTTGTGGACTTTTATTTTTGCATGGATGTGATATTATGCACTATGATCTAAGATGTGAAAATATTATGGAAAGTGTTTTATTATTTTTGATGGCAAAATAATTTATATTTATTATGTTGATGATGATGATGATGATGATAATAATAATAATAATAATAATAATAATAATAATAATAATAACAGGTTGGTGAGAATTTTGAACCAAAAATCACAAATTTTCGATTTGCTCGTCCTTTACATCCTGATCCGTTTTTTGATAATCATTTTGATCCTATTGAACATTGGATTGCACCAGAACAATTAAGACATAAAAAAAGATCAGCATATTACACCTATAAATGCGATATATTTAGGTAATAGTACATACTTGCATACTTGCATATAACTTAAATGAATACTCATTTAAATGTACTTGTATATTGGTTTATTTTCAACTGAATTATGTTTTAAAAACTTTTTTTTTGATAGTTTTGGAATGTTATTATGGGAACTTGCTTTTAATAAAATTCCATATAGAGGTTGGAGTCCTTTACAAATATCTAATCATGTGTTGGCAGGTTTTAGAGAAGTAATGGATTTTGGAAATGATCCTAATATAATAGAACGATCATATTCTAAATTGATTAGAGCTGGTAAGCATCAAAAAAAGTTTTTATCTATTTTACACACATATATTTGATATATATATATTTATTAATTCTTATTTGCTCCTAAAAAAAAAAGCTTGGCAAGATGATGCATCCTTACGACCATGTCTTTACTTATTATTCTTAGAACTTGATGAATTATCAAAAAATAATCCAATATCAAAAGAAAAATCATCTATGCTAGAGCCTCAAAAATATAATGATAATGATGAAGTAATAGAAATAATTTATTATGATGGTGATGGTGAGAATGATGATGATAAGAAAAAAAATAACGATGAAGATAAAAAATATGAGCCACCACAACCTCCCGTTACTAATAAGGATTCAAATCTCGATATTGTTCCAACTGTAAATTCATCATTGATGATGACCCTTGATGAAGGTATCAAGGCTCATGAAAATGGTGATTTTCTAAAGGCATGGGAATGTTTTAATTCACATCATATGATTGGTAATAAACTAGAAGCAACTTACTGGAGAGGTCATTATTTGTATGAAGGTTATCATGGTGAAATAAATATTAACGAAGCAATTGATCTTTTTAAATTGGCAGCAGATCAAGGTATTCCAGATGCACAATTTTCATATGCAAAATCTTTAATTGAAAACTATGATGATGATTATTATGGTGGTGGTTGTGGTAGTAGTAGTAGCAGCAGCAGCAGCAGCAGTAGTAGCAGTAGCAGCAGTAGTAGCAGCAGTAGAAATCCATTAAATTCTAAAGATAAAGATATTTTAAATTATTTGGAATTGGCTGCACATGGTGGTGGTGTTTCTTCTGCCTTTTATATATTAGGAAATATTTATTTATATGGAAAACATAATGTTCAAATAGATAGAGATCTTGCAATTCAATATTTGAAATTGGCTGCTTTGAAAAATCATCAAGATGCTACTGATTTATTAAACCAATTAAAAATTAAACTATTTTAAATTTTTTTTTTTGTATTTATAGATTGTATTTTTAATGATTCACATGTAAATAAACAAAATAAATCACCATATTATTAAAAACATGTAAATATTAACATATTATAATTGACACAGAACTCGAATTCGGCTTTATGACTAGAATTTGACTAGAATTAAATATGATCATTCCTTAAAAAAGCAGTTCAATATTGATATACATTAAGAAGAAAAAAATTATCCGTTATCCTTTTCTCGTTAATACATATAGATTGCGGTTACGATCTAAAATAGAAAGGAAATTTCTCGCCGATTTTCTTATAATATTATTATTCATATGTACAGTAGTACATCGCATGGCAAAGGTGACGCGAAATTGTTGCTTTCTAGTTGGTTTGCAAAGAATTGTGTCGCACCAATAGAAGATTAAACTTTATCAGCATGAGTATAAAGAGATGAAGAGAAAAAAAGAGTTCGGATTGGTATTAATAAGAATGGATCTGCTTTGTTATTCAAGTTAACATACAGCAAAACTTGATCACGGTATAATATCTTTTTCTTTAAAAAAAAATTGTTTAAAAAAATAATGTATAATTAAACTTCGAGTTCGAGTTAGCATTTTTTTATGTTCGAGATGATATAAACTCGAGTCCATTCGAAGCTTTAAATGTGTATATTTCAAGTGAATATATATGTATTAATTCAAGACCAGAACCATTCCAAGAGGTAATCATTGTGTGTATGTGTTGATGCAATTAATTACTTTGTTTTTTAATATATCAATCAATCATTATCATTCAGAACAAGCTCTCCATAGACGAGCAAAGGCATGAATAAAGATGCTATGTATAATATACTTAAAATAGAGGTTAAAATCTCATTTAAAATAGGGATCATTTTAAATAAATTACTTTTTGTCATCCGAGCTACAGTCATTATAAAAACGCGTTAAATAATAACATCGCTGCTGTTATATATATAAAAATATGCAATTCTCAAGTCCACTCGTATGTATAATCACGTGATTAAAAAGATCATTGACACATTGTAATTGATCTACATTACGCATGTGTTTCTTTTCTATCGGAATATCAGAAAAAAGGTAAATGGAAACAGTTTGGCCAAATTCACAAGCTCGATCTCAAATACAAAAGAATGAGTGGCAACGACAACCACCACCACAACAAAATCAGCGGAATCAAAATTGGACCAACGAGAAACAATGGCGATCGGATTGGCCTAATTCCTCCTCTCAGCAGCAACAAATGACATCAACTCAATATCATAAACAGCAACAAACACCATCATTATCAATAACAACAACAACAACAACAAAGGAAAAATCAAATGAAAATAATGATTCTAATGAACCTAAAAAAGATTTTGATATATCAACCGTTGACATAAAAGCTGCAGCGATGTCCTGGAATTCTTTTGCCAATCCTAACATAAAGGATAGAGATGATGGTTTGGGTTCAGGCCAATTACATCGTCAAGGAAAAAATTTTATTCCTGTTGATGAAGAGACTTTATTTGAAATACAGAATAGGAAAAATTATTATACGAAAAAATACAAAAAATTCACTCCCCCTCCCCCTCCCCCCCCTCCGCCTCCACCTAGATATTATAGAGATCCTATTCCTCTTTTTAGACCTAAGCCTACTTACGGATTTTCTCTGCCTCCTGTTTATAGACCACCACCATTACAACCACCACCACCAATATCAGCATCAACATTAAATTATTATAATTATTACCAAAGAAGTCCTTATCAACAACGATATAATTTGTACAAACAACCTCCTTATTCACAAGATTATGTCAATTGGAAGCAAAATGTTACATATCAGGGTACCAATAATGTTAAAACTAATAATAATATCAATGTTAGAAATGATAACAACGATCATGTCAAAGGTGATGATAATGTTAAAAATAACAGGAATGATAATAGTATTAAAAATAATAATACTAATGATAGAAATGATAATGATAAAAGCAATAAAGAAAACCGCAATAACAATAACAATGATAGCAATTATGATAATCATAATAATTTAACTACAATACCTTCAAGCTCTCTAAATTCACAATCTGATAAAAATCCTTCTTCGCCAGTTCTACAACCTATTACAAATAAATCAACTAATGATAATAATAATATAGCATTAATTCCTCCAGGATTTGATTCAACCACACATCGGAATCAACCACCACCACAACCATCATCATTACTACCACCACAACCATTCCTTCGTCATCCTCCTCTTTCTTCTAATAATAATAATAATGGAATGCAGATAACCAAACTTGGAGAAAATGATAATTATTGTAATAATTTTAATCAAGAAAATAATAATAATTATGTTAATCAGGAACAAGATTATTATTATGACTCATGTTCAATGCTTGATCCAGTATTAGAACAGAATTACCCCACTAATCCAAAACGTGTTGATAAACATGATCGTGGTCAAATCCTATTAACAATAAACGTGGAATTCGAGGATGGTCATACTCAAGCAATCTGTGTTCATGTCAACGATGAACCTGCTGATTTGGCAAAAGATTTTTGTGATTTATGGGGGGTAACAAACCCGGTGGTAGAACCCGCATTTGAAGGTTTAATTAAAGAGGAAAAAGATAAAAGACTTGGTTCACTTTGATATTTTTAAGCTTATGATTTAATTAGATTTATATATATAAATATATATATATATATATATATCTTAAGTCGTACGCAATAAATATTACCTTGTAATTTGTAAATTCTTATATATATAAAATAGTAATAATAATAATATTATTATTATTACTGCTGCTACAGCTATTTTTTAATCTATTATACCTATGATTATTATAAATTTTATTTATTTATTATTATTGATTGTCATTGAAAAAATAAGTAATTTTTTAATAATTTTGATTAATATTTGAAACCAACAAATTAATCAAAGAAGACAACCAAGCAAATCAAAACATCATTAACGCAAAGTAAATAATACCTATTTTTGAATAAATGTTGACCTTTTTTTTTGTAATGATGGAAGTAAATTTCGCAAAAATTTGTTACGCGCTCTAAAAAATTTCGGGAATGTGTATAGATTTTTTTATATAAGACCAATTAGTTAATTTAAACAATTTTAATAATCTTTTTTTAATAAAAAATCTCTTCGATTATGTCTTATCCAAGAAATTGATGGTTGAAAATTTTTTCAATGTTGGATCAGAATTATTTGTAAGAATTTTTGTAATATTAATATGTCGGCAATTTTTCTAAATTTGGTAATTTTACACATTGAGTTCTTTTTTTAGTATTACGCAGCGAATCTCGATGTAGCGATACTAATACTGATTAAAATCTCGGTTTTACGGATAAAAATTCAAGAACGGTTCCACAATAAACCTTAATAAAAACCTTCTTGGTATAGTGGATTTCTCAGTTTAACGGATTTTTGGAAAAATTCCCCCAATACTAATTGCCCAAACTATCCGTTAAACTGAGATTTACTGTGTACTATGTTGTTTAACTCTAAAACTTACAACATAATAGCATATTAATGATAAATGACCTCATCTATAATTGTCCGGTGAAAACTCTCAACACCCAATTAATCAATCAAAAATTTTCAACACCTGATTAATCTAAATAATTGATTAATATCATTCGGCGGATACAACCACTAATTGTCACTCAATTCTCGTTTAAAAGTTTTGGATCCAATTTTTGAGCATTTATAAGACTCGGTGATATCTGATGTCAAACAACGAATTCATAGTGATCAACAGCTGCACTCTCTTAACCGTTCATAATGTCAGGATGCAAACAAAATCATATCCAAAATACTTGATATTAATCCATGGACCCTACAAGGTTGATACCTTGTTCATCCGCAACATTCTTGACTTTGGACTAATTATGAATGAGCACATTGAAATTGTTGGAAAATTTCAGTAACAAAATCATTTCAGATCTATAAATGCCTTTGACATTGCTATCTTTCGATCTATTGATGTCAATATTGTTAATAAAAAGATAAACTGGGATTAGCAGAGTTAGCATACAACACCTATCTCTAATTGAGAAATCACCTGATAAAAATTCATGATGACCTTTGTGAATTTAAATGGAACATTAGAATTATAGATTTATTCGCACATGATTTTATTGGTAGAAAGCATTATAAGAAAATGCACATGATTCAGGTAGTAATCTAGCAAAATTTTAAACCCTCGCATTCGGCGAGTAAATTACTCATACTCCATGTTTCAGGTAGTAATCTGACAGGATATGCCTTTCTAATGAAATTAAACGATTAAAACAAGTACTAACAAGACCCTTGATATCATTTGGTGACTGGTGGTGATTGACGATCATATCGAAATTTGTAGAAGGGAAGTCCAAAAAAGACCAGTCAGATGGATTATTGTCGTTGAGATAGTCAATGAGGTCTGTAAGAATTTCGAATACAATCAGATTGACTGGAAAGAAGTCTTCCTACATTATTTTCCGTTCACCTTTATAGCCAGATAGCATAATGGACATTCGTTTATCACATAGTGACAAAATTTTATGCAACAAGTTGAAAGAAAAAAGAGAAAAAAATTATTCCCTGTAGACATCAAAAATGAAAAAAACCTGTGGTAGGTCACAATATATATATATTGTGACCTACTTACGTTAGACTGTTACCTACCTATGTGACCTATTTCGTTTTTTTGACCACATTTGAGTGCGGCCAATTTTTAATTTTTAGCCATCCGGATGAGTTAATTATAGTCTAGAAATTTGTATGTGGCCAATTTTTAATTTCCGACCACGTAAAAAAATAGTATTCATATGCGACTCGACAATGCATTCACTTGTATGGCGTCATTCGATTGCACGTTTTTGGCCACATTTATGTTGTCATTTGATGTTAAATCGGCTGTTGAATCAGGTGTTTAATCGGACGTTTAATCGGACGGTAAAAATGTGTATTCATACTCTGCATTCAGCTTCCAAAATGTAACAAACATGACTCTATCGTGAACCATTTTTCACGATCAACTTTATGTAACACTTCAGGAAAAGCAATCTCGAAGGCGGAATGTAACTCAATTTTCTGTGCCGTTCTCGTCTAAGAACAATTGTTTGCAATCTGTAATTTGCTTTGTGCATTGCATTTGAATGCAAGGATGAGGCACATAGTGCCGAATTGTTATCTCCACTTGGTAATATGTAAAAGCACAAATTTTTCTTTATCTCTTCTTTATATTACCTCTTATCTGAATTTTTACTTTGATAAAAATTACCCGACACAAAAATCCCCATGGTCCAGGTACCTTTGGTATTATTTTCCCGCAATTATTTTGCAATCTGAATTTTTTCCCACATTTATTGTAAGAGGCACAAAAATCCTCTTACCTGGGATGAATAACTAGCTGAATGTTACAATCTCTCCTCTCCTAGTTAATAAATATTCGCCTAATTGTAGCAGTATATCCCCTGTCAGAGGTATATTACTAAAATATGCCATTGATACATCTTTTCGAGAAAGTGCTCTTCATGCATTAGATATGGTTTTTTCCCATTCCTTCATGAGTTCATCAAGCCATGCGGTACTTAATCCACTTTCTAGTATACCGCGATGCAATAAATCTCCGCCAGTTAACCTATCCCGATCTGTTAATTTCGAGCATTTTTTAGGATCTAATCCTTCCTTTACAGCATAACGATAAAAACGCATATCTCTTTCCAATTTATCACGGAAACATTTTTCATCCCGCATTTTTTTCTCGGACTCAGTAACGACCGAAAATTGTTTTGAATCCTCCCCAAGCTCAATAGCATATTGATGGAGACATTCCATTCTATCTGGATCAATTGGATGATTTTGAGCTGGTACCTCCAAGGATAAAGAATTTTCATAAATCACATTATTAGATAAGTCAGAGATTCTGTGCACATTCTGAAGCAGTTTTATTGGTAATAGGTATGGAATCGAAAAGATTCTGAACCTCATCAGTCATCTTTGGCTTATATGGTGGAAGAACTGGAGTTATAGGATCGCGTGAATACCTAGTTATTTCATCTTTATTATCAAAACCAAGTCCTTTATATGGATTTCGGTCAATTTGGTATGAATATTTCCAAATCTGTTGTCCTTTAGTTCCCATCAATTTTCGTTAGCTTTTATAGTATAACCGCAATAGTTGCCAGCAATTGCATTAATTGCCTTTATAGCTGATTTAAGATCCGGCATTTCTTTTGCACGAGACTTAAAGCCAAAGAGCAATAAATATTGATTTCGAAGTTCTATAAACCTTTCACGAGATCAAATGCAACTTTCACTTGATCATCATAGAGAATTCGTTCATCATCTATACCAGTAAAACCCAATGATTGGGAAAGCTCCTGTATAGCTTCCCAATAATTTGCCGAATATGTTTTACGTATGTCCTTTGCTAATGAATCCTCAAAATTATCTTTAGTGTTATAACAAGTATCTTCCCATTGCACAATGTCCTTGGCCTTTAATCCTTCTATTGCACTGTTTTCATCATAACCTTGCTTGCGAAATTGAGACAATCGCAAGAAATGCTTTCGAGGTTCAGGTAAACCAAAACGCTCCACAAAATTTTTATCCCAGAATTTATTCCAAGACTCAATACTTATATCCTTTCCCCCATAAAAATTCCACATATAAAAAACGCTCAAGTGCCATAGTATTTTTAATGAAAAAACGGAACTATGGATTCCATACGATACATTTATTATTATTATTATGGAAAAAAACACGGAAATGTATATTAATATTTTAATTTATTAATATAAACGGAAAAAACTGAGTTTAATAACGGAAAACACTGAACTAATCACGGAGTAAAATTTTACATGGCAGACATGCATTTACTTTTTCAAGTTTTATTTCTGAAAAAACTATTTTGTAAAGCTTTGGAGATTAGTGGGAATTATGAAACTATATCTCCAAAAGAATATTATTTAACAGTTATTTTTTAAAGTTTTATATAAAAAAAACGACATAACATAACGGGGGGTGTAGGCGTTTTCTACTCATTTGTAGCGTATATGAATTGATCAACAAAAATTTCTAGAAGCGATCTCCAAATTTGGAAAAATCCTGCTATTTTTTAAATGTTTTTAATGATCCAAATTACACGAGTAAACCTTGATCATTAGCAAAGAATTAAAATTTTTCTTTTGGTATTTAATAATGTGGTTATTATTCATTTAAAATCTATTATTTATATTTATTTTAATATTAAATAGAAAATTTACTATTACTATTGTCTTTAACTTTTTTTGAAATAACCTAACAACAAAATTTTTTTTTTATGATTGGCAAGTGATTTAAAAGAATTATTTTATCCTCGCCGATCATTATATAAAATCACATGGCTACACTCTACTCTTGAATTAAAAGTTAAAAAAAAATTTACATTGATATTATTTCAGATCAGATAATATAGTGGAACAAAAAGTGAGAGTAGGAATTAATGATGTATGACGAAACTTTTGATTTTAGTCATTGACGTAACTAAAGTATTGACTAAAGGTAGTTTCTCACCAGGGACATTTTGACTATTTGACTAAAGTAAAAGCCCCTGATATAAGTAAAACCACTTGAAATAATTAAAACATTTGACTTAAATAAAAACACTTGATACAAGCAGCAATAATGATAAAATAGGATTATCAAAAGTTCTATTATGTAAAAATGTGTGTCCCGGAGATGAATAAAGAATCATCATTGTTGTGTGTATATTGCAATGACGCGAGAAGAATAATTATCATGGAAAGTTTACAAATGTTATAATTTAAATATTAATTTATTATTATGAAACTTTTTTTCCACGTACTCACTCTTTTTTCAAAATAAAAATGTCTCTTCTTTTTACTATTCTTTTATTACATTTCATAATTTGTTTTTTTTTTGAATTTTGACTTTGAAGTTATAACTACGTGTAATAGTAATAGTAATTTATGGATCAATAAATGAAATGAATGTAATAAACCAATAATAATAATAATAATAATAATAATAAAATAATTAACTCGCGGAATTATCAAGAAAGATTATTCTAACATTCTAAATTGTAACATTTCTTTAACTCTGGATTCAAAATCATTTGTTCACTTTAAAAAGAACTTGGAATCATTCTTAAAAGAAAGGTCTTGTTTATTTTCAAGGAATACATTTAATTAGAACAGCGAACTAGATGATTTAACATTTTTAGTGTGTATAAATAACGTTGTAATTTTCTTGACTTCATGTATCGTCATAATAATCATCATATATAATATCATAACAAACTGTCCTTATTCTTGTCCTTGTCTTCGAATTTTATATTTTCGTAATGATAATAAATCTATATCCAACAATGAATTCATACTAATCTCGTGCATAATTAATTTTCTATTTGTCTCTATCTTTTTATTTCTTTTCTTTTCTTTTCTTTAATGAGGTAATATTAATAAATTTTATTTTTGAAGTTTTGGAATATATATCTGACTTGGCAATACAGAGATTAACAACCAGATGCATAGGTTGATCAATACTGGCATGTAGAATGACTTTACATAGAACATAAGACAGATATTGGTACATATTTTTTGTAAGTTTTAATTTGAAGAAAACAAAGAATTCTGAAATTCTTTTATTGTTGAATCATGATAAATCAATCACTAGTGGTGAAATTGTTTTTTAAATAACGCAATTTTTATTTTTCAATTTTTCAAAAATTTATATTTAATTCTTTCTTAATTAATCCTGTCAGAGAAAAATCCAAAGGCAATCAAATAAACTTAATTGTTAAAAAAAACCATTATAACAAAAAAATATGAATTATTATCACCAAGGAAGTTAATGTATGCAATGATGACATTACGAGGAAATTGTTTGTTGCACGTCTTTCTCTGCAATGGAAAAGGAAATAATGTAACCGTTATTCTCAAAAAAAAAACTCCATTCTATTCATTAAAACACCAAGTCAAATTTTATTTCTTATATTTTTTTATAATGCCATATTATAAATTATTATCATCATTATCACAAGAAAGAAAGGAATTTGTATATAAAACTGACAATGAATTGTATAATAATGCAGTGGCTAGTTCTAATAAAGAAAGTAGAAAAGATTATTTTTTTTCATTAGTCCAAAAAAACAAGGAGCTTTCTGAAAATGAAAAAGAATTTTGTAAGGAAAATTTTATTTATTGGTTTGAATTAAATAATGTAACATATGAAGAAGGCAAACCAAAAGAATGTAACAGCTGTAAATTGATAAGATATTCTGATAGATTCTGTGAAGGTTGTATTAATTTACAATTGCAGAGTCTTTTCACTACATGGACATCTGGAAATAACATAATTGATGATTTTATTCAACAATGTCAAATGAAATCATCTCTGCCAAACTTTATTTTAGAATGGATACCTTTTGAGCAATTTAAAAAAGTAAAAAAGTTGACAGAAGGTGGATTTAGTTCAATTTATACTGCTACATGGACAAGAGGAATGATTAATGATTATGATGAAAATAAAAAAGAATTTAGTTATTTTGGAAGAAAAGATGTAGCATTAAAAAGTTTAAATAATTCAAGTAATCCAGGAAAAGCCTTTTTTAAAGAGGCTGGTAGTTTTTATTTAAATCAAAATAATAATGCTGTATTGTATAATGCTAATTGATTTATATTTACTTTCAGGCAGTGAATTATTGTAAAATTAAAACATCATTGATTGTTCAGTGCTATGGTATAACTAAATTCCCAGATAATGGAAATTATGCAATAGTTTCAAATTATTTATTAGATGGAAATTTAAGAAATTATCTGCAAAAAAATCATTTAAATTTAACATTAAAAGACAGAATTACAATCTTTTATTATTTATGTAATGCATTAGATGATATACATCAAAAAGATTTAATCCATTGTGATTTACATAGTGGTAATATATTATTGGATGGAGGTAATTGTTATATTACAGATTTAGGATTATGTGGACCAGTTGATGAAAAGTCATCAAATAAAGTCTATGGAATTGTGTCATATGTTGCACCTGAGTTACTTAGAGGCAAAAAGAACACAAAAGAATCTGATATTTATAGTGTTGGGATGTTAATGTGGGAAATATTTGCGGGTCATCCACCATTTGACAATAGAGCTCATAATCATTGTTTAATTTTTGATATATGCGAAGAAGGTTTACGACCACCAATATTACCTGAAATTCCTGATGATTATGCACAAATGATGCAAAGATGTTGGGATGTGGATCCATCAAAAAGACCAACTATTAGAGAGCTTTTTGACTTTGCTGAAAATAAACTTAACGAAATTATTAAAAATAATAATACTAGTAATAGTAGTAGTAATAATAGTAATAATACTAGTGGTGGTAGTAGTGTTTCGCAACAAGTACACAAACCACATCCAGATGCATATCATCAAAGTAGAATATTAGATGAAGAGATTGCTAAATCTAAAAGCTTAAAACTTTATACAAGTAATGATGGTTCGTTAAATGGTCTTTATTTTAACTCTTTTCTTTTAAATGATGATTTTAACAAAAGTGAATAAAAATTTCATTATTAATTAATTGGAAATTACTATCCATATAATTATTACTAACAATATTTTTTAATTAATTAAATTCTTGTAATAATAGTAAGAGAAAGAATCGACGAGTGACAATTTAATCCTCACTATAAACTTTTATTTATCTTTTTATTTTATTTTTATTTTACTTCTTAAAACTAAATAAACTTTTTACAGTTTTTTGATTCTTATTAAATGGTGATATTGCAAAGTATTGTTTTGGTTAACACCGATTATTTAACAAGTATAACTGATTATGGCTTAACTTTTGGGTTACTCTTGTCAGTTAATCGCAAATAATTCGGTGCTTGTCGATTAATTGGTTTACTTTGATTCTTGTTTTTATATTTATTGGCCGATTTCAAACTCACTTTAGTATCTTGCTTAACAGCCTTATGTTTACCAGTATTTCCAATTAACCTTTGGGCGATACTTCATTAACGCTCGCTAGTTAACCAACGTTAGTCCTAATCTTTCTTGCAAAATAAAACGTGGCTTTTTACCAAAGCGCCATCCTTTTACCAAGGCATTGCACTCGTTGCTTTTATCAGTGTGCTTTAAACAAACTAAATAAAGACGACGTTTTTATTTTTCTTTGCTTGGACCGAAGTCATTCCCTATTCAAGTTAACAATAAAGGTTTATTATTGCAAAGTAACTTAATTAATCAATAAAGCTACGTAAAATCTTCATTTGATAATGATTATGTTGTATATAGGTCTACACTAAAATTAGTTGACCCTGTATTCGATGATTTCTACTCTGGTCATGTATCACGTTATTAATAAATAAGCGGAGTGGGAAAAGAAGAGATTGGGATGCACAAGAAAAATATAAAATATAAAAATATAAAATTGAAAAAGACCTTTGAATATATATTTATATGTTTTTTTTTTATGAGCTTTTATACATTTTATTATTAACCTTTGGAACAATTTTACTTATGTCAAATGTTTTTACTTGCGTCATTTTTGACTTTTGGCAGCGAATTTGACGTAATAGTTTTACAACTTTCGTCGAACAACGTTAGTAGGAATAGAAATTGATGTATAAACAAATGGTGAAATTTTCTATTGCGTTAGATCTCTTTTACCGATAATAAATTATATGTTCTTTAATTTTTTGTTCACGGTACTATGATATCGGCTTTAACTATTTAACTTCACAATGATGCAATTAGTTGCAGAATTATGGGAACTATTAATATTCACTTCCTAAATTTTGGTTTACATAATTTTAAATTCTCATTGTTTTATATATGATACAATGAGGGGTTTTAAGCTGTGCATTTTTGGTGCAAATTACAAAGCACAAATACCGAACGTGAGCTTATCCCTCAAACCTTCAGAGGGTGATATGGGGATTTCTCCCTCTACGAGTAAATCAAACGATAGATTGTGTATTCATTAATTTGTCTATTACCTATAGTAATGACAAATAAACAAATAATCTTTTTATTGAAGAATTAAAATAACATTTTTTTTTGTAATGAATAAATGAATTTTTATAGCATAAGAATTCGGTCAATTACCATCCTAATAATAATAATATAAACAAGAATAAATTATTATCAAGATTCTTACAACAATTTTTCTAAAAAAAAAAATTTTGTCAACAAATACCTTCACCGGGAGAAGAATCATCTCTATTAGTGTAAATATAATTATAATGGATAAATTTATTTGTATAAATGGCTTCAGGATGTATTTCATCAACAGTAGATATTTGTGATATCGCATCACATAATTCATCTTCGATCTGTTTATAATCATCATCATTATCATTAATTATTGGTTTTTGATTTAATAATAATAAATTATCATGATTACTACTAAAAACTTCTAATGACAAAAACGAATCATCAGGCAATAAATGCCATCTATCCAACATTGCTAAAACTTCTTCAATAGTTGGACGATTTTTTGAACAGTTATCCCAACATTTTTTCATGAGCTCGATAAAACATTTGGGTATACCATTAACAACAACATTAGGTCGCAAACCATCTGAAATTTCCAATTGTAACCTTGAATCATGAGATCTATTATAAAATGCCAGTTGTTCTAAAAATATCTCCCACAATATAATTCCTACACTATAAATGTCTGATGATTTTGTATATATATTATTATAATTATCATCCAATTTTTGTTGATGGCTTACATGGTGATGTTGGCCACCGCCATAATCATTTCCTCCATTTAAAATTTCTGGTGCAAGATATGGCAAAATTCCATATGTACCATAAGATAATTGAATCGTTTGATCAGCCGGAAATGATAACCCCATATCAGAAATATAGATTTCAATTCTATTATTCTCCATATCTTTATCTTTATTACAACCATCATCTATAGGTGGGTCTTGTTCATGATAATTTATCAAAATATTCCCACCGTGTAAATTTTGTTGAATCAAATTAGCAAAATGCAGTTTGTGAAGAGACCTAATAATTTCATGAATCAGTTGTTGTTTTTCCTTTAATGTCATTATTTTTGGTCTTGTTTTCATAAATCGATAGAGATTACCGTGAGGCATATACTTCATCACAATCATGTAATCTTTAGTGACTGAATCTTGCGTTATTCCATATATTGGTAATAAACTTGATATCTGAATTGATGCCTTAATATATATCTTGAGCTATTGATTTGAAAATAAGAAAATTAAAAATAATGCTAACATTAATACGTTTATTTATTTTTTTAATAATTTACCTTATTCGAAAACTTTGAAGAAATATTTTCTGAATTATGAAACCTTTTTAAAGCAACCATCAAATTATCACTGTCACCATTATTGTTGTTGTTGCCATTATTATTATTAACTGATCTAATCCACATTGCACGGTAAACTGTTGCAAACCCACCTTTACCAATTTCACATATATCTTTAAATTTTTCAAAATCAATCCATAAAAAGGTATTTTCATTTTGTCCTTTAATACTTTTAATTTCTCGCAATAAAATATCAATTTCTTGATTACCACTTGTCCATCTTATAATATTTTTATTTTTATTTGGCTTTCTGCATTTCATTGAAGTAAAACTCTTATCAATTTTTTTCACCTTACATGATTTCTTGTTAAAATGAAAATGCCCATCACTACTGCTACTAACATTACCATAATCATCATCAACTGCTCTTAATTCACCTACTTCTTCATCAGAAATCATTGACAATGATCTTTTTCTGGAATTAGAAGAAAAAGACGAGGATGGAGAGCTAGTAGAGTTTGTAGCAGTGGTGGTATATGAAGATGAAGAAGAAGATAAATGTATATAACTGCCCGTATCAATCAAATCCAACAATTCTTCTTCATCCAATTTTGTGCCAATTTGTTTATGTATATTTTTACAAGATTTTGAAATAATCCATTCTTCCTCTTCCTCCTCATCGCCATTGGTTGATGATAGAATAACAGAGTTTGAATCCATTGATTAATAAAAAGATCTTTGTAATCAATCAACTATCCTTGAAAAATTATCTAGATGACTATTAAGGAATGATTTTATCAAAAATTATCAACACACTACAAAGTAAATCTTATCACACTTTTAAATAATTATAATATTAATTTAAAAAAAAAATATAATTAAAGGTAATTATGCATTTTGTTTACAATTATTTATTTTTTACCACCAAATCACATGGATACTAAATAATCAATCAACTATGACAAAATAAGGGGATCGCATCACCTCGGGTACATTAAAACCCCCGTTCTTTATTTGATTGGGTAGAAAACATGGTTATCTTATACTAAAAAGGGGATGTAAGAGTTTTTAGTGTACTTGGGTGGTGTGGTAAGAGTCAAAATAAGGTAATACAAAGTCATGAATCAGTGCCACTGACATTACAAGGGCTCGCAATGAGACCCGGTGAACCATAATCACCAATTATTTGATCTGAATTGCAATTAACAAGAATTGAGTATTGTTTGTCGTGCGTGAAAATGAAATTCATGTGAAATTCAAATTAGCCAATCAGAATTTCATATTCAAACGTCCACACCCTAGTTCCAATCTCATCTCTCATCTTACAATATGTGGAATTCTCTATATAGGTATAAGATCCCGGACTAAAATTAGGTTTTTTGAATAATGTGTAGTTTATCATGATGATTATATCAAAAACATACATTTAACCGTCTTTGTCAATCAAAAAAAATTGCCATATAGAAGTTAGTTTAGGCCGATTTTTTCAACCCTATTAGGGTGCTGACATGTAATCATTTTAATAGAAGCGCTTACCCAGGTAAGATATTTTGATCACGTGCATGACAATTATTTGCCTTTTTTTAATATTAATAAATATATACAAATCTTATAATAACAATTGGTCAACTCAAAATATTAAAAAAAAAATTTTTATACCATTTTAAAAAAGTTAACCGATAAATTTTATGACTCAAACTTCAAACTTATCGGCTAATTTTTCCTTAAACTAAAAATTAGCATTTTGAAAATTCCCAAATTTTGTTATACACTTAAAATCGAGACCAAGTAAATTTCGTGTAATAAAATTTTTCCCTTTTTTTATTAATAAATAAAAGTTTTTTACAATAAAAAGAAAGACTCCCTTTTAAGCCGAATTGGACGGTGGGTGGTAGTTTTTTTGAAATCCAACGTGTATATTTCAAATTTTTTTGAGTATTATTAAATCAATCATTTAAAGCAACAACATTGGAGTAAAAAAAATTTCCTTTATAATATATTATATTCTTTTGAAATTCCCGAGTACGATTTACATTGTCCATCCCTTGACCAAACAACCTATTCGTTCCAGTCCTTATTTATTTGACAAATCATAAATGAATAATGCATCCTGCCAAAGAAAATTGAACAAAACTCAAGGGCTCTTGACAATTTCTCTCTTCTCCCATCACAACAAAATTGACGAAATGTATTTAAGGAATGTATGTATGATCATACATAAAAGTAATAAAAAATGTACATAGTAAAATTTTACAATCAAATGACTTCTAATCCCCATTTAATAAATACCCTTTCTGTGTAGCAACCGCCACCAAATTCGAGATATAACTTCTTTATCATATGTATCTGCTTTAAGAAAATTTTTAAAGCAGGTTGTTAATAAAACCGAAAATAATCCGACACTCAAAGTCAAATTTGCTTTTATATTCATATTATACACTTGATCGCCAAAAGTTTATATCCAAAAATTTCTTTTGCATTTATTACAAAAATATACTATATAAATATTTGTGATTTTTATATCATTTGATATCTCTGGTATTTGTGATTACGAATATGATTTTGATTTTGATTTGTGATGTCATTGTTATGAAATAAAAATAAAAATAAAAATAAAACCTGATATTGAAATCTTGAAATGTGCAAAAATCACGAACTCACTGTAGCCCAAAGATCTCAAATCATTGGTCTTTTTTAAAGGTAAGCATACCAGAAAAGAAATCAACGAAATTACACAAATATTTTAGAAATGAATTGTTTCTACAAATCACTACAAATTTCAAGATGATAACGCACCTGTTCATACAGCAAAAAATGTTATAAAATGGTTATCAGAAAAAAAAGTAAGGATTCTGAAGATTGGCATTCTCAATCCCCAGACCTCAATCCAACCGAACACTTATGGGACAAGCTTGGTAGAAGATTAAAAAAGCGTCCCTACCAGTGTCTGAAATTGAGTGCGGGTTTTTGTGTTACATATTGAATTTAGCCAATCAAATTTGTCCTTCTGGTAGAAAATTTAACGTTGATTGGCTAAATTCAATATGTAACACAAAAACCCGCACTCAATTTCAGACACTGGTCCCTACACCCAAAAAATAAAGATGAATTAGAAAATTATTTGAGAGAAGAATGGCAACAAATTTCGTGTGAAAAATATTTGAGATTAATTGATAGTATGCCAAGAAGGATAGAAGAATGCATCTCCAACAATGAGTGGACAACAAGTTATTAAAAAAATTTTTTGAAAATTTATTAAATGATCAACATTTTAAAATTTCAATATCGACTTTTAAAATATCTCATAATAAAAATTCTGAGCTTTGAAGTGAAAAAGTAATACTGTTTTTGAATAGCCGTGAATTCGTGTAGAGAAGACCTTTCAATATGAAAAGTATTCATTAGAAAGCTTTAATGGAATATTTTCATTTTACTCTAACAACAAAGTTCGAGTTTACTATAAAAATAACGAGATATTTTAAAAAAGTTTCATATGACACGAATTTCAAATTTAAACTTTATTTTTTGGGGATGGAATTTTCTATGATAGTTCACAATTCATAATAAAGATCTGATTGGTTCACAGATTAATTTTGATACTAATACTAATTATTGTCATCTGCTGACCTTTTTGTGCAGTTGTTATTGTATGTAGTATTTTCGGAAAAAAAAGCCACACTTTTCTTAGATCGAGAGATGTTAAACTGCAAATGTTCATATTTTCTTTTAAAGGTCGTAAAAACCTTTCTACTTTCAATGACACTTGATAACCTTCCGTTCTTTCTCTTGCTAGTCTTTTAACTTGTGCTTGATTTTCTCTTCCGTGTTGAAACCAACATGAATTTAATAATAATTATTTTTTTTGCCATGAAAACAAAAAATGCATTATCATCTATTACACCGAGATAAAATCGTTATATTTTAAGAACCATTACCTTTTTGATCAATTAATGAAGGAGGAAATCTTAGCAAACAATAAACCATTACTTTTTCGATTAGTAAAACTGTTGATAAATAAAGAAACTATTATTTTTCAATTAGTTAATGAATGAGAAGGATCTTAGCAAACAAACCATTACTTTTTTGATGTTGCTCACATCAACCAATACCTTCCTTTCCAAGTTTTTTTACTTTAACTTGGCAAAAACTTTTAAACTTTTTTATTATTAATTCAATCTCCTTTTTTTTTTTTTTGCCTGCTTTGTTTCTTATTTGCCCCAACAAATTTATAAATAAATAATAATACTTAATATATACTTTTTTAAAAATTTCATCTACTATTCTTTCCGCTTTTCAATATGGATTTGTTAACCGTTGAGTCAATTTCTGACTGGTTTGCTAATGAAGACATAAAAACGATTTCTGTTAATTCATTTAATATTAATAGAACATATTCTCTTAAAACTGACGAAATGGTACTAATGATAATTTGAAAAGGTTATTATACTCAAATGTGATAAATACAGAGTCTTCGATACAAACTTGAAGTATTTATTGATTGAAAATTATGAAATTACATTTGATCGGTTAAAAATTAAAAAATTACATTGAAAATCGTATCAGGCATATAAAATAAATATCAAAAATAAATTAATAATATTTTATATTAGATAGATGTTTTTATTACCAATCATTTTTTTGTCCATAAATGAATATCATTGTTGTTTGTTTTTATTATCTAACAGTTGATGAAGCAAGAATATAATGTAATTTAATTGATCAACAAAATTATTTTGGTTTTGATATGCAGAGTTATTATTCGCATTAAATAAATTCTGTTCGGCGAAGCCATTGTTATTATTGTTGATACCTGTTGAAATAGCAGTGTTCTGGCCAGCAAGGCCATTATTATTATTGATAATACTAGTTAAGCCATCAAAAGTGTTATCTTTAACGAAACCACTATTACTGGCAATATCTATTGAGGTAAGAGTGTTTTGGTCAACGAAATTATTTTGATTAATCAAGTTATCATCTCCAGAATTTTCATTAACGAAATTGTCATGAACTAAGTTAAAATTAAGGTGATTGTTGTCGCCACCGTTTTGATAAGCAAGGAGGTTATTGTCTCCAAAAGTTTGAGTAATGGAATTATCATGAAATAAGTTTTGTTGAACGTTTTGATAATCGAAATCATTGTCTCCACGAGTTTGAGGAACGTGGAATGAACTTGTTTGTCCATTAAAAAATGGAAGAGTGTTTTGGTCGTTAAAAATATTATTTTCTTTGTTGTTATTATCTTCATCCATTTCTAATATGCAATATAATGTATTAATTTTATTTATAAATGATTTTTATTAATTATAATTGTTTAGTTATTTTTTTAAAAAAATTTTTTTTGGTTCAAACTTTTTTAAAAAATGGAAGCTTTTTTTATACGTGACATGTGGTAACACAAAAGGCGTAATAAAAATAATAGATTGATAGAATAGTAGTAATAGTAGTAGTAGTAGTAGTAGTAGTAGTAGTAGTAGTAGTAGTAGTAGTAGTAGTAGTAGTAGTAGTAGTAGTAGTAGACATTTAGTCAACTGACCAAAATGGTAAGAAAAAATTCGACATTTAGTCAACTGACCAAATGGTAAGAAAAAATTCGACATTTAGTCAACTGATCAAATGGTAAAAGAAAAAATTAGACGAAAAAAGATAGTGAGAGAGAAAAATATGACCATTTTCACAAGGAAAATTTTTGTAATAATCTGCAATAATAAACTTGTTTACAT